AAAAAAAAAAAAAAAAAAAAGATAGAAAAACATTGAGAACTTATGTGTCTAATTTGTTTGCTTACAAAATTTTCTTGTAGAGAAATTTTTCAAGGAAGGTATAGTTACATATGGAACAATGACACTGCATACAAACTCCTGAAAGAGATGGAAGTCTCCAGCATTCGACTGTGTGGTGCTGTTCTGTGTCCTTTCACAGGACTCACTGCATTTTTAAAATCCTTTAGCTGCTACAGAAATTAAGAAATTACATTTGGGAGCAGCCCTTGATGCTGAGAAAAAAATCTCCATCATAATATTGCAAAGGTTCTACCTGAGCAAGTCCCCCTGCTCGGTCCCAGCTTGCTGATTTGATCCTACCAATCCAGAGAGACAGTTCAGCAAGGCCCTGCTGAAATTAACCAACCTAAAAGGCTCTCTTTGTCACCCCAGTGAAGTAGAACGAGTCAATTCTATACCAAGTGGTTTGGTCAGGCAATAATGGACTTTTCTTTCCTGTAGTAGATCAGCTGACAGTAGGTGGGAGGTCTGCCAAGCCACAACTGGCTGTCCCTAAGGAGCTGGGCATCTGAAAGTCACCAATGTGCTCCCACTGCAGTCGGCATTCAGAATTTTCATTTGTGCAATCATAGGAGACACCACAAAAGATTATAGGTTAATAAGAATTTAAGGGGGTGGGACCTCTTACCCTGATAGGGAGTTGTCTCTCGATATAGGAGTTTCAGTTTCTTTCTGTTTCTAAAAGGGTCATTTCTGTAGACTATATTAAACACAGGAAAATTCTCGTAAGTATCAGTAAGAATTCCTGCCATCCAAAGGTGCTACAACCTCTCACCGGAAATGGTCAAGAGAGTTACTGAAATGTCAACTCTGCCTGGGCGCGCCACATTCCTTCCACGACTGAGGCTGCATCCTGCCAGCGCCCCGCCCCTCCCCTGGCCATATGCAGCAGGCTGATAAGGCCAACTTCACAGAGAATGTTCCAGGCTGTTCCCAGCCATATGGGATAAACGCCTTTCGAGAGTGCCAGAAAGGAAAAATCTGGGAAATGTGCCATTAAAAAACAAACTCCAATCTTACCAGCCTATCTATCCCACTAACTGTCTAAAAACCACAATGGAGAGGACTTCCTAGGAAAGCAATCAACTGACTGCTTATCTCAAAGGAACTGATTGTCTCTGATTTTGCCAATCAAGTCTGTTCACATGGAGACTGAAGGAAAGGAATGAAGTGCTAAGTATATTCTCTGTATGTTTAAGGACAACTTCCCATTTAAGGTAACTTAAAAAAAAGGTACATATAAAATAAAATAGAATAAAATAAAGAAAGAAAAAAATAAAGAAAATAAAAAGAAGAAAAAAGGTACATATTTGGAAAATATCAGAGAAGACTGAACACGTAGACTATTTATAAATGCTGCAATGCAGCAGTCAAACGTTAGCTGCATCATTCAGCAAGTAATTCGAATTGATATCAGGGGGATAAAACAGGAATTACAACTATGTCCTCCATTGTAACAAATAAAGTGAACTTGTCAGCATTCTTACAATACTGCCAGATCTCTGTGAAGAAGAGTGGGGTCTAAAGATATGAATCTTGGCTAGAAATTTCTAATTTAATCCAAAGATATACCATGCCTCAGAATGATCCCTGATACCAAACACAAACTTATACAAATTATCCACTGAAAATGGATTCCTACAAAAAGACTAGACATGAATATCTTTGTCTTCTTGATGAAGGCCAAGAGACAGCTGTTTGAGGCAGTTCTTGGTATTTGGGGAATTTTTAAAAGCCTTAACCTAATTTATAGAAGTTATATGCCCCACCGTACAAGGGGATATAGCTATCTTTGGGAAGCAGGCAGAGGCAGTGGGTGGGAATCACACTGTGTTAAGCAACACAAAAGACTGCAGATAAAAACATTTTCAAAGCAAAGGTCAAATGCTCCGGACTCTGTAAGCTTGGCACCTGCAATGAGTGGTTTAGGATACCCTTGCACAGATCTTAGACAGTAGAAGAATTCGGCAATCAGAGTTTCTCTACAGAAACTCAAAAGAGAGAAAAAATTATAGTGAAGCTGAAAGGAGTCTCAATTAAAAACAAAGTATTGGGATTGCCATTCTTTCAGCAAGCTGAATTTACTGGATCTAAGGGGCATTTGCAATACTACAAAATGAATTCTGATTTTTCGGGCAGGACACCAGACCTACTGTTTTGCAAGAAAGGGATCTTTAGGGACTAAGAGGATGAAAGGATCATTTGGCTCTATGGAAAAATTCATAACCATCACCCAAAGCAAAAGGTCACAGAAACCATTCATCAGTTGTTTTTGTTGCTTAGTCAGAACCCGAATGTGCAGAACCGACAATATCCTTTTTCCATGGCTTAGGACGCCAGCCTAGTACCAAATTTGAGATTTGCAAAGCAAGAGAACTATATCCATGGATGTGGAAGGGCTTCCATAAGAACAAACACCAAAGAATTCATTAGCACCCATAAAATTGTATACCAGTTGATTCTCAGGTCAAACAAGATTAACTCGAAACCAGCTTAGCTGCAGATTTTAGTGGCAGATTTGATGGTAAGCAGAGAGGTCAATAATACATAAAGGATAACTGAATGCCATAAATAAAAACAACAAATATTTTTGCTTAAACCACATTCCAACCAGGATTGTGGATCAGCATGTCAGCCTTCAAACTGATTAATTCATTTCAACTTGTTAGCACAATTCTGCAGAGGTGAGCAGGGACTTAGCTTTAAGAAAGCAAGAGATTCATACTGCATTGCGTCAAAATCCAGAAATGCAGAGCAATATTGCGAAAACTTACTTCTGAATGTTTCCCAAATACTATCTTGCTGCTACTTACCTTTTAACCTGCAAAATTCAGATAAGAGGTATTTAAGTGCCTTATCGTTACTATGACTCAAAACAGGAAAAGGTTATAATGTGGCCCACTTTTATAAACCTCATAAATAACTCATCTGATTTATAAAAGGGCCTGCCTTGGATTTATCACCTATAATCACTAGAAATTTCCAATGTTTATATTTCTTATTTTGGGATATCAAGATGCCAAATCTTTTCTTCTTTTTGAAAAAGGTCCGATTTAGAAAACAAAAACTGTACACAAATAAAACATATAAAGAGAGCATGTTTGTTTTGTTTTGTTTTCACACTGTCACCCAGGCTGGAGTGCAATGGCGCAATCTCGGCTCACTGCAACCTCTGCCTCCCAGTTTCAAGCGATTTTCCTGCCTCAGCTCCCCAAGCAGCAGGGATTACAGGCAACTGCTACCATGTCCGGCTAATATTTTGTATTTTTAGTAGAGATGGGGTTTCACTATGTTGGCCAGGCTAGTCTCAAACTCCTGACCTTGTGATCCGCCCACCTTGGCCTCCCAAAGTGCTGGGATTACAGGCATGAGCCACCACACCTGGCCTGAGAACTGTTTTTGCTTTAAACATGAAAAGGTAAGCTCTATTTTATTATAGGAATTGTGGCAGAAGAAGTCAATGGAACAGGAAACAAACCCAAGTTTACAATATTTGTCAAATGTAAAAAATACAATTTTTACTATGTATTTTCAGATTATTTTTTCCAACTATCTAGGATAATCTGTTTAGTCCCTTGGTTCTTAAAAACCAAGTAGCCACCAATAAAAAGTCAGCAAACATTACATGCAAACACCAGGATGGTGATGAGAAATTAATATATTCATGCCTTAAAGAGAAAGAGAGGGAGGTAAAAAAAGGGAAGGCTTTGAAAATTTTAAAGTAAATTTATTAACACTTCTGATAATTTAACACCAAAAAACTCCCAAACAAACCCTAACCAATTTGTTTAACAGAAAGGTCATGCAGGCAGGAGTTTTTTTTTCCCCCTTTTCTTTTGATCATTCAACCTCTTTGACACAAATATGCCTTCACTGCAAGCCAGGCAAACCAAAAAAGCAACCCGTTTTCTGCATGCTGGTCAAATACCTGGACTCTGCGTTTACGAAACGATGACAACATGATGGAGGAATGTGGAGTCTAAAGAGGGAGGGGGAAGAGCAAGATAACAAGCTTCTAAGGGCAAACAGAACAAAATCATGAAGAAAACAGATATTTCAAAATATATGAATACAGGTTAAAAATCCAATTTCAGATATTTTCTCAGTGTTTTCTGACATTCTGCATAGTGTCTAAATCCCACAAGGGATTCAAAATGTGGAAAGAGAACCAAGGTTACTAGGCCTTGACAGTTACTGCCTAGATATGGCGGCCCTGGCCAAGTCACACTTGTTTTTGGGCCTCAATTTCCCCACTTGTCAAAGTAATAATACTGAATATACTTTTTCAAACTAAATATGCCCTCCTCCTGAGGATCCCAGGAGATGATTCCTAAATCCCCTTCCATTCAGCAATAAAAGAATAATTTCATGAAATTATCACAAAGCAGAACTCAAGCCACAAAGATCTGACTTGGGCCTAGTTCATCAGCACACTTACTTTAAAAAATACCATTTCCTCTTCAAAACTGGCACAAGAGGAATATACAAAAAAGATGGAAGAGAGGTGATGGTTCACAGCACAGCTGCTCCAGTCAACTGGCCCCAAGTGATCAGCTATGCAGTCCTCCTCCGCATTCCTGGAGACCGCAGTTGCCACTAGGGCGTTGCATTCTTCTACTGTACGCCTGCAGCTGATATGCTGCAACAGACCTGAGTGCGTAACTAGTGGAGTCCTTGCATAGCCCACGGAGAACTGATTACAAAAGCAGGCCAGCCTTGGATCCACTGTCCATTCTTAGTGTAGGTTCAGCAGTGACAGGACATGGGGGACTATTCCTGAGATCCACTTTTCAGGATCTACAGTTGACTCCACCCCAACCTGAGATGAAGGCAGGTAAGAAAAAATAGAAAAAATTCTAACCCAGGGAACCAAAAGACATACTTAAAACAGCTCTCCTCATGTCCACCTCTTCATCAGATTGCTTGACAGACTTACACTGTAAGCTGCGACATATCAAATTTCTCTAATTATTAGATTACTACAAAACACACCGCCAAGACCAAAGCATGTCAGAGAATCAGTTACTGGGCTGATCGTTTCCAGTAAGAACTGCTTCACACTTATCCAGGATGGAGCAAATCCTCCCTTCATGTCTCTCCATCTAGGTCCCTGGATAACGGTTAACACACTTTGAGGGTTCCTTTGAGTAATTATTGGCCCAGTTACTTAAAAAGGCTTATTGTTAATTTCCTGCACAGAGTCCCTTACTGCAGCACTTTTTTCCCCCTGCAGCACATATTAAACTTTGACTTCAATTTGACCTTTCAAATCTGACATTAGCCGAAGTGAAAAGGAAAATAAATGACTAGTTAAGGAGTGGGAACCTTGGCTCAATGGCTTCATACAGCTGAGTGTTCTTGCTGCTATTCCCAAGATTTTCTGTTTCCTGGCTCCAAGACACCCCCACCCTTCCATCTTTGATTCTGTTTTACTTAAGGCCAATTGCTATGACGACGCAATTTCTCAACGCATTATGAAAATACTTCATATGGCCTCTCTCCTGTTCTTCCTGAACAGCCATGATGGTTAAGTTTTTCTAAAATAACATGAGGAAGACAGAACAAAGGGCTTAAATATTTTAGGATCTATTATATGAAAGATATCTGATTAGATGTTGGAACAGTTCAAGCATCATCTCAACCCAGCTTTCTGAGCTATTCGGGCTTTTCGTTTAAAACATATTCAACTATTAACCTTAACAAGGCGCTTATTTAAAATATATTTTACTTAGTACATGAGACTTTTGAAAGCGATGTTCTTTGAAAAGCGTCTAATCAAATTCTCAGGGACAGCTTTCAAACAAAAGACTGTTCTATCATTCAACACCGTTATGGTAGAATTTTTGACACAGTTATCTCGACTCAAAAGACCCAGTCCCAGGAAATACACACACACAAACAAGAACTCTAAGCTATTAAGTTATTTGATTTGAGCCTCATATCGTGCAAGCACCGCATCTACCTATTCTTTACAAGCAAATCACCACTGGGGAGAAAAAAAAAATGTTTATTACAAGGAAAGGAAAGGAGACCGCCCGTCTCAGACCCTTCTGCGTTCAGAAACCGCCGAGATTCGCCATGCAGAATGAAATTAAGGTCAAGAGCCGTTTACGCTAGGCTCCGGCTCCTCGGCTCTTCCTCTCTCCACTGCTGGCCGGCATTGCTGGTGCGATTCGGGAGAACGAGCTGCAGAAGTCGCTCCCCGCCGAGGGAAGGGACCGGGGGCGGTGCAGGGAGCGTTCTGCAGGGAGGCGGGTGGCGAAGATCCCGAAGAGGGAGCCCCCACCCACCTGCCGCAGCCGGATGGGGCAGGGCAGGGCCGCAGCCAGGCTTGGGGGTGGCGGGGAGGGACCCGGCGGCCTCGCGCCCCCTCCCCCCGTCAGTGACATTCCAGCGGCTGCGCCGAGCCTCGGCCCCGCTGATCCCTCGCAGCCCAAGCGCCACAAAAGCCGCGGCGGCGCCTCCTCCGGCTCCTCAGCCGAATGGAGGCAGCACAGCGGCCCGCCCGTCTCACCTGTACCCGGCGCCGGCCCCGCCCCGCCTTAGGGGCTGCCCGGCTCCCGCCCAGGGTCGGCAGCCCGGGGCCCTGCTCCCTCCCAGAGCTCCCTGGCTGCCCCTCTCACCGGCTCTCGGGGGGTGAGGGGCGTGGGTGCGTCGGGCCGAGGGGTGCTGAGGAGCCAAGGAGCCTCCGCGGCCTCCGCTCCGCGCCGTTCCCTCCGCAGCGGGTAGTGGCGGCGGCGCACGCGCCCCGCCTCTTTTATAAGCGGCCACGCGCGCTCCCGGGGCGGACGGGCGCGAGCGCCGGGGGAAGCGCCCGGGCGCTGCGCTAGGGGTTGGGGAGCGCGCCAGCAGAGCGAAGGGGGCGGGGCTCTCGCCTGCTCACCGCCCGACCGCCCGGCGGAAAGGGCCGAACGATCCCGGAAGGAGCCGAAGCGGCGATGCAGGAGAAGAGGTGAGCAAGGGGCGGGCCGCGGGAGGATGGGGAAATGGGGCGTGCGCAAGGGGTGGTGGGGTGATGGTGCAGTGAGATCACTGCCTCCGCCCTGGCCGGCAGAGACGCTCCCGCAGCACCTCCCTCCCCGCCGCTTTCGTCCCCCTCCCTCACGAACGGCCCGCCCTGCGGACAGTCGCCTGCACCGCACCCCTCCGCCCTGGGAGCTCTTCCAGGACTGCAGAGAAGGGGGAGGCGGGGGCATCGCTGCAGTCTAGCTGGGGATGCTGCGCGCCCCGGCCGGAAAAACGCCCAGTCCCAAAGGGTGAGATCACCCGAGTGTGCGTCTCTTCCTGCTCCCAAGGAGTAGGCTGGCGCTGGGGACCCAAATCAGCCTACTTCGGTGGGGGCTGGGGTCAAGAAGATGCGGATGATTTGGGGCCCCGGGTTTGAGGAGGTGGTGAGAGGAAAAGGCCAAATCCGGATCAGAAAAAAAAAAAAAATAAAGCCGACTAATTTGGGGCATAAAGCTGTCATTCTGGGATTTGGAAAGTTAATAATTTCTTACGTTCTTGGAGATTATGGGGGAAGGAAACGGCAGCAGCAAAATAATAATTTCTTATATTCCTGCAGCAAAAGCTTTCGCACAGGTCGCCAGTAGAATAGGGTCCCATTTCATCAACAACACATTAGGTTCTTTCTGCCACAGTTAATTTCCTTGTGTACTAGGCACTATGCTAAATATTTCGTGTTACCTTTTTATTTCTTAATCTTTGCAATAATTTTATGAAATGCTTTCCCATTTTACGAATAGGCACTCTTACTTAGTGCTCATGTAGGCTAAGTCTCTTAGCCCAGGTCAGGCAGCTAAGCAGTCAGAACCTTCCCTTTGAAATCGTAGGTGTATTCCCTTCAAGTAGGAAAGCGAGGCATTTTGATGCGCGTGGCTGCTGGGGTGCTGACAGAGAAAAATAAGATTCTCAGAAATTCTGATCCTTAAAGTCCTAGCAGTTTAAGGGCCTGGCTCTAAACTCTGTAGCCAGAAGCCCTGGATTAGAAAGCCCTTTCCTTTTCCCCATTCCGGTGACAGCTGGGCCGCAGCCACTGAGAGTAACACTCAGATCACTCCTGTGTAGTCAGGCAGACGGGGAGCTCTGCAGCTCAGGAAGGCTTCAGCCTCCTGGTTACCAAGCAGCCCTCCTCTTTAAATATAAAGCATTGGGCGGGCACTGAAGCAGAACCTCAGCCCAGACCTGGCCCTGAGCTTGCCGGTCTTCTGCAGTTTGGCTTCTTTCCCTATGCCTGGGACCTGCAATATGGTTCCTAAACTGCCCTGGCTGTAGCCATGATACTGAGGAAAAATTTTGCTACCCACTCACTCCATTGGAGCGGTGAGAAAAGGAGTGGCCACACCCCAGAAGCTGCTTTAGAGAATCTGTGTAGGAAAGACGTAGGAGCTGAGAGGCATTTTCTGCAATCTTCTATGTAAAGAAAACAGGGCTGGGCAACTCCTCCCTAGGGTGTGCATATCTGGGAACAGCTGATGGTATCTGTGGCCTCTTCTACAGTAGGTTGCAGTAAAATGTTTAATCAGATATTCAGCTCTGGGTACAAAATGGCTAACAGAATTGTAGCTCCCTAAAATTTCCAAGACCTTCTGTTCCAGCAAAGAATGCATCTTGGGGCTGGGGGGCAGGAGCTATTAAAAAGGGAGGGTTTTTCTATTAAATCACCCTGGCCCCAGAGTGAAATGGGGGATTTTCGGCTTTTCCTGGATGCAAAACAAATTGGAAACCTAAGAGAGAGTTCTGTATTGATAGAGAAACTAAAATCTTATGTTGATCCTTTGTCTGATCTGAGACATGGCCAAGAAACAGTAACCCCAGCCCTCTCTACCTCCCACTCACCCTGCCTGCTCTGCACTTGGCACTTGAAATGAGCCATTTAAAAAGCCATTCTTCACTGTTCTGTTGTCTGCCTACCTCACCTCCCACCAATTTCACCATATGCCTAACACCCTAGTAGGTGTGCAAAGCTGGGGCGGGGGGGAAACAACAAAAAAAGCACAGGACAGTGTAATGGCTTTGTAACCAATCAACCCCACGTTCTCAGTCACACACCTCTCCTGGCCTCCTAAAAAGCAGAGGGTTGGACTGAATTCTCAACTCCTTTTTCTAGTTTCAGCAGTCCTCAGAAGGTTTGATATGTACCCAAAGCTTAAGCCTCTAGATAGTCCCAATACTTTTTCAGGTTGTTGAAAAGGTCAACTGTTGGGAAACACACTAATTGTAGTGATGTGTCCACATGTTCTGGCCAGGGAGTCACTTGTCCCCTCTCCCTGGGAGAGAACCCTTCCTCTACCCTCCCCTCCACACCCCATCCCACCTCCTGCAAAGATAACAGGCAAACACTTCCACTATTTTTCCTCCCTAGAAGGGAACTGATTGGGAAGTCATGCGAGCAAATGGACTGCACTTCGCATATGACATTCTGCAGTGTCAGAGCTGGCAAGAAATAACAGATCTTCAAAACGATGTGCCTGGATGAATCTTGAAGGCATTATGCTAACTGAAATAACCCAGACACATAAGGATGAATATTGTATGATAATTCCACTTATGTGAGATCCCTAAAATTGTCAGATTCATAGATACAGAAAAAACAGTTGTTACCAGGGGCTGAGGGGAGGGAGGAATGGGTTATAATTATTTAGTGGGTACTGTTTCCATCTGGGATGGTGAAACAGAGTTCTGGAGAGGACGGTGGTGATGGTTGCATAACACTGTGATTGTACATAATGCCACAAAATGCCACTGTGATTGCACACTTAAAAATGGTTAGGTCAGGCATGGTGGCTCACTCCTGTAATTCCAGCACTTTGGGAGGCTGAGGCAGGCAGATCACCTGCAGTTGGGAGTTCGAGACCAGCCTGACCAACATGGTGAAACCCCGTCTCTACTAAAAACACAAAATTAGCCGGGCGCGATGGCACATGCCAGTAATCCCAGCTACCCAGGAGACTGAGGCAGGAGAATGGCTTGAACCCGGAAGGCAGAGGTTGCGGTGAGCCGAGATCATGCCACTGCACCCCAGACTGGGTGACAGAGCAAGACTCTGTCTCAAAAAAAAAAAAAGTTAAACTTTTATGTCCTTTATATTTTACTAAAATCAAAAAATAAAGCAAAGATAAAGGAAAAAAAAAAGAACAAAACACAAGCCACTGCTTCTAAAATCAAGCACCGTATTAGAGAAGCAGCCTGATAGGGTCTGGGAGTATGGCCTTGCCAAGGTTTGCTTTAAGATACCAGGTGACAGCAAAGATGTAAACTCCTCCCTCCCCTCCCCTCATCTGACCACCTAATCTGGCTCTAGTCATTTCACATCTGTTCCCTTGCGGGGCTGCCTGCTAGACCTGGTCAGTCCATGTCCCTCCTGCTTACCTTGAACCACTACTACAGTTAGTTTCACAAACCACATCAAACCTTCTCAAAAAGTTTCAGTAGCTTCCCATAGTTTACAGAATAGGCCATACTTTGGAGCCTCCACAGTCTTGTTCCAATTTACCTTTTCATAGCATCATTACCTACAGTTCTTCTCTACTGATCTGAGGTTAACCTCTTCCAAAACATGTTATTTCTCCAACTCCAGGCTTTTGCACACAACTTTTTCCTCCAATTAGAACGTCCTTTCCCAACACTCATACCTCTTTTCTGCCTGAAAATCTTACCAATTTTGAGTATATGTAAGTAGAATGTTTCTGTGGCTGGGCACCATGGCTCATGCCTGTAATCCCAAAACTTTGAGAGGCTGAGGTGGGCGGATTGCAAGGTCAGGAGTTCGAAGCCAGCTTAACCAAAATGGTAAAACCTCATCTCTACTAAAAATACAAAAATTAGCCTGGTGTGGTGGTGGACACCTGTAATCCCAGCTACTCAGGAGGCTGAGGCAGGAGAATCACTTGAACCCAGGAGGCGGAGGTTGCAGTGGGCCAAGATCGTGCCATTGCACTCCAGCCTGGGCAACATTGCAAGACTCCATCTGAAAAAAACAAAAACGAAAAAAACCTTTCTGGAAGAGCAGTTTGACAATGTGAATCAAAATATAAAATTTGCATGCCATTTGACCCAGCATTGTTAGTCACATCTAGAAATCTACCTTAAGCAGGACGAGATGCATATTCATTCGGGACAGGTACGGTGCCTGACACCTGCAATCCTATCACTTTGGGGAGGCCGAGGCAGGAGGATCACTTGAGCCCAGGAGTTCAAGACCAGCCTGGGCACCATGGCAAAACCCTGTCTCCACAAAAAATACAAAAATTAGCCAGATGTGGTGGCATGTGCCTATAGTTCCAGCTACCAGGAGGCTGTGAGAGGATCATCTAAGCCCAAGAGGTTAAGGCTGCAGTGAGCCATGATTGCAACACTGCATTCCAGCCCAGGTAATTGAGACCCTGTCACAAAAAAAAAAAAAAAAAAAAAGAATGTTAATAATTATAAAAAAAATAACCTAGACACCAAGTGAAAAATGGTTACTTACAATTCATAAATTCAAGACTATATTCGTAATATGTATTGACGTGAGAAAATATTTGAGTTATTACTGAATTTTAGGTTACATGAATGGTACGTCAGTCCACTTAAGAATTATATTCATGTATATGTATATATTACAGAGAAAGGATTCACAATGAGTACCCAGGATAAAAGGATTTTGGGACACTTTTACCTTTT